AGGCCACCTACACTTCTCAGATTGTGATGCCACAAATGTGCTGATCCATTTAGCCACAGCAGTCCCAGAGGAGCTACAACTCAGCTATAAAAAAGAGCATCTTTTGAGCCCAAGGCTCTAGCTGGAAATTTCTCTACTCATGTATTCCCACTAAGATCAACTTAGAAATTGAGAAGAGGGCCGGCCCGTGGCTCACTCGGTAGAGTGCGGTGCTGATAACACCAAGGCCCCGGGTTTGGATCCCATATAGGGATGGCCGGTTAGCTCACTGGCTGAGTGTGGTGCTGACAACACCAAGTCAAGGGTTAAGATCCCCTTACCGGTCATCTTTAAAAAAAAAAAAAAAAAAAAGTTGAGAAGAGATTTTCATATCAGGTTTTCAGTATAAACCATTAAACTCTTGGGTACTATTTTATACAAAGAATGGGGGATATGACAATTTCCTGGCAGGTGAGTTTTCAATGAGTTTCAAGTTTTGGGAAAGGATGCACAGACCACAAATGTATTTCTAAACTGTATTTGGAATTGACGAAACATTTGGAACTGACAAAATCTTCCTAGAGACAAGGCCCTGAGCACAGAGTCTGTCTCTACCATGAAAGTTTTACATAAACTGCACAGAACAAAATCGGCAACAAGTGATCATTGGCACTAGAACAGGTAATTCCTTAGCTGTTAATACAATATCCAAACTGCATACCACATGACATTAGATTGCTGGTTAATAGTTGATTTTTACATTTAAATTACCTTAAAAGGTTGGAAGTCCAAGCTAAGTTTTTCAGTATCAATACACTAGTCATATTATCATACAGTGCCTGAGGTAGAGAATTCAGTAAGAGATTTATTAAAGAAAACACAATTGAAGAATACAATAAAGAAAAGCATTTTCAATCTTGGAAGCATAAAGCCAAATGTCTTTGCTTGGTTCAACAAGCCAACCCTGAAATGCAATCTCTTACTTCTTTTATCTCTGCAGAGATTTTGCACTGGAGTAGAACTTTCTTTTATTCGGACCCCTAGATTTTGGAATACTATAGATTGTTTCTTTAAAAAGTATGATTATTAACATGGAATGTCCGTGAACCAAACCCACTTAACATCATTATTAAAAACAACAACAAAACAACAGAACTATATTAGAGACAACAGCAAATACAAATCTTTAAATTCTCCATGATGTGTGGCCAAAATGAGTGACAAATATGCAACCTAATGATTCTAACATTTGATGGTGACTGAATTAATATAGATTTATGATATATAAGTGAGTTGAAATTTTATTTCCAAACTGCACTGTATAGGTGCAAGGGCTTTATTATTTTCAGGTGGTAAGTCTTTTCATAAGATTACATGATTTTATAAAGATAAAATTAATCTGGAACCTTCCAAACAAAATGACCAGCAACTGTATATCTTTGACTTCAGGTATTTTCTTCACAGCCAGGAAAGACCTCTGATTTACAAAAAGGCATTTCTTGGAGTAGGTTCAAGTATAACATACTTGCCTTCTACCAAAAACTGGCTGGCCAAAAATTTATTAGCAACTATCGATATTATTTTTAGAAGTGGACTGTCTCTTAAATGAGACAGGAAACGTAAAGCATGGACATCTAGAAGCTGAATGGGTAAATCATAGGTATGACTAAAAGGAATAACATTTAAGTCCATTCTTGGTATAAATTCCTTAGAGTAAGCGGGTGTTTCAAACCCTCGTTGGTGTCTGTGATAAAGAGCACCAAAGCACATCTCACTAACACACATAGTTCAACTATTTTTTGTGAAGCTCCAAGCTCAGACAAGTAACCAATAACAAGTAACCAATAACAACAGTTGGTTTTAACAGAGGTTCTACTTCTTAACACTTCTGAGAAGTTAAGTGGTTCCTGAAATTTGGAAAAGTAAAGTGATCTGCCTAATTTCATACCACGAAGAAACAACAGTTAAGATTCCTAATACTGTTTTCCCGTTAAAAATATAGGTGCCTTTCTAAAAGATGCAGTTATGTGGGAGTCCTAAGCTGTGAGAACCATCTTAGATGACAAAGTTCATTTTTATCAAGAATTAATAGCTCTATAGATCTCCAGAAAAACTGACTTCAAATGAAATCAGACACTTGTGGTTTTAAATTAACAAATATAGAAACAGGCAAAACTAAGTCATAAGCAGAGACAAAGCTGCAAAATGAACATCAAATATCTTTAGGGGGAAATGTCACCTAATTCCCCTCAAATGTGAACTAAGAAAAAACGTCTGTTCCTTTTACAAATCTCTTCTGAATAACAGATTTTTAACAAAGAAGAGCAAAGGAAACACCACATCAGAATAAATCCAATAGTATGTTAAAGAACTTAAACACGGGGCCGGCCTGTGGCTCACTCGGTAGAGTGCGGTGCTGGTAACACCAAGGCCACGGGTTCGGATCCCATATAGGGATGGCCGGTTAGCTCACTGGGTGAGCGTGGTGCTGACAACACCAAGTCAAGGGTTGAGATCCCCTTACCGGTCATCTTTAAAAAAAAAAAAAAAAGAACATAAACACGCTATTCATCATATCCTGATTCTAGCATGTGAAGAATGAAGCACCCAACTTCTACTTAGAAGTGAATGTCATGACACAGCATATCTTATTATGGCAATTCAAAAAAATATTAATTTTTTTTAAACAATATAATATATATATATTTTTTGGTCCTTTTTGAGACCGGCCGCACTGCGCTCAGCCAGTGAGCGCTGTGAGTGCACCGGTCATCCCTATATAGGATCCGAACTCGCGGCAGGAGCGCTCCTGCGCTCCCAGCGCCGCACTCTCCCAAGTGCACCATGGGCTCGGACCTAAACAATATAATTTTGATAAGATTAAAAAAAAAAAAAAAAAAAAAAAAAAAAAACACTGCTTTTTACACAATTGCCTGCATGTTCCAGAATAGCCAGAACAGTATTTTTACAGTTTCAATGTCAACCCAAATAATGGAATAAGCTAGACATTGATAGGGTCACTTTCTTAATGTAGGTCCGTAACATGCCATGAGAGGGAAAATGGCTTTGGCAAATGTATACGCTCAGAGGCTGAAAAATGTACTAAGGCGGCAGTGACGGTTGGGAAATTCTTGTCATAATCAAAACTTTACAAGAGAATAAAAATAGATTTAAAAAGTGAGTGCACATGGGGAGGTGACATAGAATATCTTTCTAGATACTTCAAGAAATTGAAGAGTTATCCAGACACAAAAGATAACATTCTCATCAGAGCAGGCCAAGATGAAACACCAGGGGCACTGATTGTAGAAACTAAGCGAGCACTTCTGGTGCCGATGTCTTTGCCTGGTTCCTCCTGGCATGTCTGCGCGACTCTTTTTTTCTCAATCACTCTCCAATCCCCAACCTCTCTGCTGACAAAGCCACTATCTTCTCCTCGAACGTGAGTGTATGTGTATTTTCTGTCCTTCAGTTAAGAAATATGCCTGAAGATCTAACGACGTAAGAATTAATTGGTAGTCCTTTATCTTAGGTAGGCTTAGGTGTTTAAATCTTGACTGTTTTTTCAGGATTATATGACTTTCCTTATTAAACACTTGGTTTGAAAGACTGTGCATGTCTACTAGTTACCCATGATACATACATGTATACCACCTTCTGAAATTGCCCCTCCAGTCTTACCTGAGTTTATTTTTTGCTTAAGATGTTTAGAGATCCTGAGAAGCTTCTCTAGGCTAAAATTGAAAGATTAAAAAAAAAAAAAAAAGGAAAATAAAAGTAAGTGAATGGCTAGAAGATAAAACTTTCTACTAAGTTTCTTTTTCCTTTTTTTAGGGGTAGGGGAAGAAATGCCACGGAGCAACAATGAAGACAAAACTACACAAAGGTGCTGTTCTAGTTTTCTCCTAAACAATGGAGAGTTGGTATTTTAAAATTAAGATATGAAAAATAATACTTCTGGAATTTCCAAGTCAGAGGTGGCCTGTGATAGCTTTCTGCTGGGGAAAAGTGAGACATCCAAATGAAACGCTCCCTGGTGGAGGAAAGGCCCCTTTAAACCTTTACCAAGCTCTTACTCAGAAGCTCACAAACTTTAAGACACAAAATGTTAACATGACAGGAGAGCAAAGTTCTCCAACATAAGATTGAAATGGCAATAAAATACCACAAATGACGTGTTATGAGCATTAATGTTTGTCATTGACAAATACATATATGCTTATAGGGAATAATGACTGAACTTCTCTTTAGATCTGTCTACAGACAGAACCCCAGGTCAGAATGGCCTTTCAGGCAGAAACCTACACTGGTAGAAGTAGGTAAATTCTAAAAGTTCCATGATAAAGAAAAAGGAATTTGGATTTAGGGCTTTTGCCATCTGCAGTACAAGTAGCTTTGAGTAAGAATACTAGTCTACAAGGGAACTTCTGCATTTCTAATGTTAACAAATAAAATATCCATCACTGGCTTCGTAAGAAACCAGAGAGAAAGGCAGGTTTTTGGATAGAGGCTTAAGGCAAATCAAACAGGTTCATAACTAAACATCCTATTAGGACTTATTCTCTAGGCATGGCTTTGCTTTCTGAGGGAAGCACTTAGCATCAACTCTCGTCAGGTTCTCCACACATCTACCAGATTGGGGACACCTCTGCTTATCAGTTTTTTGAAAGAATTTAAATTATATATACACCATCAAAGCATACACTGGCAATGCTTGATACTGAAAGAAATCCTGAAGTGAGTCATTTTTTTCCTTTGAAATTATGAATACCTTTTCAAAAACTGACTACAACTCTGGTCACATGAATAGAATTCAAAGATTTCTCAGTTTTAAAAGAGAAAAGATCTCAACCTCCTTCTACCGAAGGAGAATTGAAAACGCCCCTCCTCCTCAGTCTCCTTACATATTTGAAATCTTTCCTGCCACATGAGAGGCACTTTTATTAGGTGTAGCATCTATTAAAACTCTAAACCCAGGGTGGAATTTGCTGAACAAAGTAATAACACTAGCCTAATAGGCATTACTTATAAGAATTTTTCCCCTTTAATATAAAAGTATAACTACAGCAGTTCAATGTACAAATACCAAAAAAAGTTCTCATACTAAAAAATGTACCATAATACTGTACATACAAAAACTGTTCAACAAGAATGATTTAAATATATCTGTTCTTCTCCAGATCTGGAAGACACAAATGTAAAGTTCTGCAACTGTATTATTGCTGAGAACATGTGCCCAGGAACACTGTGTTTCCCTTTCTTCTCCCTCATTCCAGCCCTGCCTTCAGAGTCCCCTGAGCTTGGATCATGAGCCAACAGCATCCCTGAAGATAACCAGAGCCAAATGTTTACTCAATGGAAGTCATTATTCAGTGAGCCGTTGCTTACCATAAACTATGAAAAGCACAGTTTTTAAGCCCAGCCAAGATTAAATCCAGACGGAGGTCTTCCCATCCCCCGATTTGCTACTAGCACTGCTTTTGTTGGATCCAGCTTTGGACCCCCCTTTGGCTTTTTTCTCCCGGGAACCATGGGGATTGTTTTGGTGATGGTAGGCCTGGATTGCTTGATCCAAGCGTTCCTGAGCCATTCTGATCTCCCGCTGCAGAGTCTCCAAGTCAGCTGGGAGGTTCTCTTCATGGCTGCCATACTGCTGTTCCTGTGCAATGTTGGCTTTGTTTTGCTTGTAGGCAATCTTAGCATTGGAAAATTCGGTGTACTGAATTTGATCTGGTTTGACAGCAATGTTATAGCCGGGGGGAGCAGATGGTGTATTCCAAGTGAAAGGATAATTATAAGCACCCGGATCTTCAAGTTCCCTCCTTTTACTGTTTAGTGTGTCTCGAATGGTCCCAAAGCCTAAATGAAGCATCTCCCAAATGTTAAGCAATAGGCAAAGGCCTGTAACACCATACATTATCAGAAGAAAGATAGTCTTTTCGGTGGGTCTAGAAATAAAGCAGTCTATCTTATGAGGGCAAGGAAGTCTACTGCACACATAAAATGGGTGGACTTGGAAGCCATACAGGAAATATTGCCCTATCAGAAAACACACTTCAAAAACCGTCCTTGCCAGCAACTGCAGCACGTAGATTTTCATGAGCCCGTCCTCGCGAATCCTTCGGCGGCCATCATGCTTGGGTTTAGGTTGGCTCTGCTCTTTATTTTCTTTTTCACTTTCCAACTCCATTTCTGGATACATCATGGGATCCTCTTCGTGGTCCTCCTCCGTTTCTTCCAGAGCCCTGTGTTGTTTCCAACGCATTGCATAGGGTTTGCTCCGAGCTGCCTTCTTGTCTGCTTCGCCATGCTCCATTTTGGCAATCTTATGAATGGCATAGCCCAAGTACATTACTGAGGGGGTTGCCACCAGGATGATCTGGAATACCCAGAAACGCACATGGGAGAGGGGTGCAAAGGCATCATAGCAGACATTCTCGCAGCCTGGCTGCTCTGTGTTACACACAAATTTGCTTTGCTCATCGTAGTAGATGGACTCTCCTCCTACAGCTGTAAGGACAATCCGGAAGACAATCAACACAGTGAGCCAGATCTTCCCCACAAATGTGGAGTGGTTGTGGATCTCCTCTAACAGGCGAGTCAGGAAGCTCCAACTCATGGTGACTGAATTGGTCTGCCCTGATAAAAGTGGGAAAGCAGCAAAGGAAAATCAACAAATACTGAAATCGTAACAATTTAATTTTTAATTTATATCTCTAAGAATTACTTCTCTGCATACTTGAAATCGAACTTCAAGGCTCATACTGGAACAAACATTAGAATAAATAGCATATCACTCTCTGCTGCTCTTAGGGAAGACAAGTCACCTCAGTCCATGATCACAGGTTTGGGTCTACAGGGTCCTAGGAGGTCTGGTTTGCTTTCATGTCTTCCCTGGTTTGAAAAGTAAAATTGTAGCTATCATTTATTGGGCTGTATTTTCAGATGCAGTATACTAGTTTCTTTACATACACTATTTCTTGAGACCTTCAGAACTTTGTGAGATTTAGATAAGAAAACGACGCATAGGTGTAGCTATTCGGTCCAGTCACAGAAAGATCACCACTGAGAACATAAGGGATACCTAGGCTGGGCTCCACTACTTATTAGGAAACTTAAATTTTGGGTCAGGTAACAAAGTGTTAAAAGGAATTAAGGAGATGGTACAGCTGCAAACAACTGGCAATTATCAAGAACCAAAACAAAGACAGAAAGGAACTAGGAAGACCCTCCCTCCTAGGCAGCATAGCACAGCAGATTCTGGTTTTTCTGAAAAGCCCACTGTGAATGGTCTTGCAACAAATATTATAACCCCTTTACCACATAACAGAATTTATAATTATTTCTGTATTTTGTTTACGATAAATGTTAAAAAATGTTTGCTAAAGTGAATTGTGAAGACATTAAATACAATCAATAGGCAAATCCATTTAAAACATTTTTAAAGGATGGTTTTATTCTGAAAGTCATGGATGTTCAGAATCCAGGTAAAACCCCCCTAAATGAGATAATATATGTAAAATACCTAATACAACCCCCCAACACAAAGTACACTTAGCTTTTAAACCTCTTCTCCTCCCTCTCCCAGTTTACTTCTGCAAATTATAGGTGATTTGTCTGCACGACCAAAGAAGTTTAAATACACCTTACCTGTTATCCAGAACTTCTGTTACCCAAAATTTTCTTAGAGAAATGATGTTTTTCTCGCAACTTTTCCAGATTCCTTCTGGAAGAGAAAAAGAAAAGAGGTCATAAGCTTCCTCCCACAGAAAACAATGGATCACTAAAATGCCAATATCAGGAAGAAACAAAGTTTTCTATGTACCACAGGCATCAATCAGAATGAAATGAAAACGGGCTTGAATTTGAATACCACTGTTTTCACCTTTTAATACAAGTGATAAGAGAAGCTGTGAACAGTGACCCCAAGATTCTTAAGTCATTGTAGACTATGAAAATATGACAGGAAGATGAGTCATTTGTGAAAACCTGAAGCAGATGAACTCGGGCACCTATAGAAAGTAGCCAAAGCAGAAGAATCCCAGCAAATTTAAACTGGGTCACTAAAGGCCTCGCAAAAATCTTCACCCTGTGTGCTCTACTCCCTGGAGTAGCCAATACCTCTCCCTGGGGTTTAAGCAGCCAACTAGGAGCAAGCTGTTTAGCTAAAACGCTCAACAGCTGGCTCTCAGTCACTGGACACCCGTCTCCACAGGAGGTGATTTACAGATTCAACTGCTCACAAATAGTCACAGAAAGAAAACACCTGCATCTGGTGTTTTAAAAAAACAAAACTGGATTAAAAAACAAAAAAAAAATCCAAGGTGAATTATTGCTCATTATCAAGTTCTGCCAACTCTGAACAGCTATGGCCAAAAATCATCCATAAGGTGCCAACTTTGTTCATTACTATCATTTTAACAAATTTAAAACAATCCCAATGTGTTCACAGTAAGTTTTTTTTAAGATACAGGAAAAAAAATATTGAACAATTTCTAAAAGATCAATGAAGCAGCAAGAACAAAGAGGTGCAAGCATCTAAATAACATGCAGGTGTCAAGACTTACATAAAGACAGTCTGACACACAAAGACCTCACCATAAGACTTCAAGTACAGCTCTCATTTCTAGCCCTGATCTCCAGCTGAGCTCACCACTTCTCCTCCTCTTCCTCTCACCAAATACACAAGTTATAAAACCACAAAACAAGAAGTAAATAATATGCAATCTTTAAATAGTGAAGTAAGCCAGGTTTCCAACATAGAACTCCATGATTCATATCCACAAATTCCCTGCAGGCTCAGATTTCCCCCAAAGTCTGAAATTCTATTTATTCCAATAAGCCGAAGTCATGAAAATAATTATACCTCTATCCACACTAAAGACACGCGTATATTTGCAGCTCACCAGTAAGGGGATCTGAACCCTTGACCTTGGTGTTATCAGCACCACACTCTCCCAAGTGAGTTAACTGGCCAGACCTTAATAATTATTGCTATGAAATAATTTTTCAACAGTTTTCAGCATTTCATACAATAATCCAACTTGTTTTTGGTGGGAAGAATTGGTGATAAACCCTTCAAAGCTAATGTAAATTATAAAGCAGCTATTAAAACACTCCCAGAAGTGTGTATTGTGTGCTGGTTAAGCGTCGGCCTAGAAAATGCTGAACTCTTAGAGCCTTGTTTTCCACAGGCACTCAGAGCCACAGAACCCTATTAACCTGAAAAGTCTTTGGAATAGGTATCTCTATAGTTTACACTCTTAACCACAAAATGTCCTGGGCAGGGGTTAATCTACATACTCGGTCCTCTACACTGGATGTACACGGATTATTTCATTTTCTTTCTCTTAATATAATTCTACTTTGGGAAAAAACCAAACAAGCCCATAACATTAAAAGAAGCAAAAACAGAAAACCACAATCACAGCCTCTTAAACATGTTTTGGTTTTCCACATTTCCTTCCAATCTTTGTTCCTATGAATACTCTTTCCAAGTGTACAATGGCACTAATTTATAAAATCCTAATATACAAAGGAGCTAAGTAGTAAAAATGAGTTTGTCTTATATATTTTTACTATTCCTACTTCTCTTCGTATAAATGATGTGTTCAGTAACTTAACTCTAGCATAAAATAGATGATGGGCAGTCTTCTTTCTAAAATAACCACGGGTTTCCTAAAAAGAATGGCAGCATTACCGCTGTTTGGATCTACTGAGGAGGCAGAAGGTTTTCCTTTGATATTCCTTCCTTTACAAATCCCTTTTACTCTCCCCTTTCAAGTATCCATTCTTGCTCTCAGTGGAATACCAAATAATACCTGAGCAATGTGTGTGGCCTGCGAAACATTTTGAAAATGTTAGTTTTCATTTTTGTAATGGGCCACCCATTCTCTAGGCAACCCTTCCCCCCTGCCCTGCAGCTATGCATTAACAAAGCATTAAGGGAATGGCTTACAATGTCAGAGTAAACTATTCCACCACAGAGACAGAATAAAATCATTTCAAGAAGAAAAGTAGAGGGCCGGCCCGTGGCTCACTCGGGAGAGTGCAGTGCTGATAACACCAAGGCCACGGGTTCGGATCCTATATAGGGATGGCCGGTTTGCTCACTGGCTGAGCGTGGTGCTGACAACACCAAGTCAAGGGTTGAGATCCCTTTACTGGTCATCTTTAAAAAAAAAAAAAAAAAAGAAGAAGAAAAGTAGAATAGAATGGTGGGTTCTGAAATTAACATGAATTAACTTTTAAAAAAATAATTTTGGGGCCGGCCCGGTGGCGCACTGCTGTAGTGCGCCGCTTGGGAAGCATGGCGGCGCTCCCACCGAGGGTTCGGATACCACATACAGACCGGTTCCCGCTCACTGGCTGAGTGAGGCGCGGGAGCGACACCGATGGTTGCGATCCCGTTGCCGGTCCCGGTCCGGTACGGGGGCGACACTGAGGGTTGCGATCCGTTGCCGGACACGGAAAAAGAAAAAAAATTTTTTAAAAAGGAAGAAAAAATAATAATAATAATAATTTTTATTGAATCATAATTGATTATACATATTTTGGGGGTTCAATGTTCACATATGTTGATCAAATCAATATTACCTGTATATATATTGTTACAAATCGTACTTATTCTTTATACCCCTTGTCCAGTCTTTCCCCATCCCCCTCTGCCTCCCCCCTCCCACCTCTGATAACCCTAGATTTCTTCTTTCCTTCTGAAAGAGTAATGGTTACTTTGTTGATCTGTTGCCTAGATGATCTGTCCAATGCTGAGTGGTGTGTTCAGGGCCCCCAATATGATTGTAGAGCAGGTGCTGCTTCTGTCACTCTGGAATGGGCTTTGTGGAGAGAGACATCCTCTTCTTTTCTTTGGTCTCTGCTGGTGACTCCCTTGTGTCAATGTACTCCAGTGGTTGGTGGACCATCTGCATGGTGGTTGTGGCATCTAGCTGCTTTTGTGGTGGCTGTGGTTATTGTGGGGGCTGTGGTGGGCCACCCACATGGAGGTGATGTTTTTGGCATGCTCCTTACCTAGCTGCTGATGGCTTCCGGATCCATGCCACAGGACTTTGGGCAGGTCCCATGGTGTTGGCAGTGTGCCTGGTTGTGGGAGGAGGGTCCGGTCCTCGGGTCCATGCCTCAGGGCCCTGGGCGGGCCCATAGTGCTTGGTAGTATGCCTGGTTGTGGGCAGAGGATCCAGGCCCCAGCTCTGCCTCAGGACCCCGGGCAGACCCCAATGGGTATTCTGTTTTTTCTTTCAGGTCTGTGTTGGATAATTTGCTGTTCCCACCACTTAAACTCTGTGCTGGAACTAATATGTTGTCCTTTGCTTACTTCTAAAGTGGGGGAACTTCCTGTGTGGACCAGTACTTGAGCTCTGTGGTTAAGTTAAATTGCTGCTTTGCTGCCGATTCCCTGGGGAAGGTTTTTTGTGCAGCACTGGTTTATAGGTACTTTCGGGTTTAGTGAAATCCAACGCACCTGGGTTGTATAGAAACACTGGTCTGAGCCTGAGTCTTCATCAAACTGCACCCCTTGGGGCTGGCCCGGTGGCGCACTGCTACAGTGCGCTGCTTAGGAGCGCAGTGGCGCTCCCACCGGGGGTTCGGATCCCACATACAGACCGGTTCCCGCTCACTGGCTGAGCAAGGTGCGGGCACAACACCGAGGGTTGCGATCCCGTTGCCGGTCCCGGTCTGGTACGGGCGCGACACTGAGGGTTGCGATCCGTTGCCAGACACAGAAAAAAAAAAAAAAAAACTGCACCCCTTGTAGTTCTATATTCCTGACCAGTCTCCTCTGAGTGGTCCTACACTGATTGGGAAGCAGATCAGCTGTCCTTGCTGGGCCCCAGTGTTCTCCCGGTGGACCCGTCTCTCCCACCACCCATGCTCCAAATACTTCCCATGGGATGGGCTGTGCTCACTGGCCTCTGAGTGGCTCCTTTTTTTCATTTGTTGTGGCTATGTGGTCCTATGTGGTTTCATGGGAACCCTATTAGTGGTATTGCTAGCCCAGGGGCCACCAAGGTCCTCTTCTCCCCTGCCACCTCCAAGCAACTTCACCCGAAGGGCACAGCTGTGGCTTTTGCCAGCTCCTGCTCAGTGCGCACTCAGCAGCGCCAGCTTGGAAATGGCTGGGATTTGAAACGGTCGGAGCAGTTTTTCCTTTCTCTCATTGTGGCTTCTCCTGCCTTTGTGTACTCTGTAGGTCTCTCCTCCTCTTCCCCTGAGCTCTAGCGGCCCCAGCTTGGCTGTAGTTGCTTTTTAATAGTTGTAAATTAGAGATTTGTGGGAGAGAGTGACACTGGGGACTGTTTATTCTGCCATCTTGACCAGAAGCGTGAATTAACATTTCTAAGCAGAATGTCATTGCCAAGCGTGGTCTCACCGTTGAGGAAACTGTGTCCTTGTTCCACCAAAGTTCTCTTTCTTCTGAACCATTATTTTGCTCTGCTTTCAGGATCCTAAGATTCAGAACAGTCTTCTCTGACTTCCCTACTTCTACAGACAGACTTGGTTATAATAGCACAGAGACTGAGAATGTGCAATTCACCTTGTGAGTGGCTCTCATGAAGAAAAAAATCATTTCCATACTCCATCTACAAATGGAAAATGACACAGAAGTCCATGTTGAGTGGTGGTAAATAGATGGGGGAGGCCAAACACCTCAATGTTTTTTTACTAATTAAGAAGCCCCCAACTGATTTATACGTATTTTTACACTTAGTATCTTCTTGAACATATCCTTTATGCTATGATTGAGTTTATATCTATAGATAAATTATAGGAAGTGGTATTATTAGGTCATGGGCAACATAAGTCTGCATGTTTTTTTTTTTTTTTTTTTTTTTTTTTTTTCGTTTTTTTTTCCGTGTCCGGCAACGGATCGCAACCCTCAGTGTTGCCCCCGTACCGGACCGGGGACCGGCAACGGGATCGCAAGCCTCGGTGTTGCTCCCGCGCCTCGCTCAGCCAGTGAGCGGGAGCCGGTCTGTATGTGGGATCCGAACCCTCGGACGGGAGCGCTGCCGCGCTTCCCAAGCGGCGCACTATCCAGTGCGCCACCGGGCCGGCCCTGCATGGTTTTTTTTTGCTTTGTATTTTCATATGACTTTTTTAAAAAGTATAGCAAT